CCTGTAGTCCCAGCTACTTGGGAGGCTGAGGCAGGAGAATGGCGTGGGCCCAGGAGGCAGAGCTTGCAGTGAGCCGAGATCGCACCACTGCACTCCAGCCTGGGTGACGGTGCAAGACTCCGTCTCAAAAAAAAAAGAAAGAAATGCATGTTCCCAGGCTCTGCCCAGACGCACTCCATCAGGACTAGGGACAGGCCCAGCAGTTGGCCTTCACAAAGCCTCCAAGCACTACACATGGGGTTGACAGTGGCTGATCAAATCTCGACTTTTTGTTATGGGGAAAAATCACGAAAAGCAAAGAAGACAAAGGGGTTGCTGAAGCTCACGGCTAGTTAGCAGGATAGTATCAGGCCACCTCTTTAGTCCTGTAGGCAGAACTTCCAGTTATGGGGCTTGACTTTCAGCCGAGGCCACCCTGCAGGGCATCTGTGCCTCCTGTGAGAGCAGCCGTCTCCCACGGAGGATGTGCTTGTAGACCAGCTTTGGGCCCGCAAACCCAGCTGCCCGTTCAGAATGAACACATAAGACGGTTGGCAGCTGAGTCATGTGGAGCTGGCGAGGAAGCCCAGGAGAATTGGAGCCCTGGGCACCAAGCATGCTTCCAAGGGTGAGGCAGGGGCATTGGCTCCTACAGAGGCTTGTGCTTAGTACTGGGTGTCACATGCCGGGAGCCCCAGTGTGGCCGTGCACAACTGGGTCCCTGTGAAGGACCCCTCAGGCCTATCATGTCTGCTCTTTGAGCCCCGTACTGTGCCAGCACTGTGCAGGGGACAGCACACCCGTCACCTAGTCCAGTCCCACTTAGAGCACAGCAGCGAGGCCCAGGCCCTGCCTCCCTACGGTGCAACTCCCAGAGGCAGCGCTCTTGGGAGCCTGACATTCAGCACTCTGTGTCGGGTCAGGAAAGGGGAGCTGCCCTAACCCAGAGATCCAGCTGCCCCGCATCGTCACCAGTCACATCCCAGAGAGGGCAAAAGCCAGGTGCCATGGGCAGGTCTGGAGGGAAAGCCGGGCGGCCTGGGCGGGGCTGGAGCACACTACAGGCACCACAAGGCTCGGGGTAATCCCAGCCACATGGTGGCAGTCACAGGTCAAGGGACACCATGGTGACCAGTTTTCTGAGTTAAGAGGGCAGGTGGCACCCCCTCCTGGAGCCCCTCTCGAGCACGCACTCATTCATGGTCGGGCACAAAGCGGGCTGGGGCTTGGCCCAGGTCTCGCAGTGAACCCAGGGTCCTGAAGAGCCTTCCTTGAGTCTTTGGACTCAGGCTGCTGGTTCAGTTTTTTTGTTTTGCTTTGAGACTGAGTCTTGCTCTGTCACTCAGACGAGTGATGCAATCACAGCTCACTGCAGCCTCAGCTTCCTGGGCTCAAGCCAATCCTCCCACCTCACCCTCCCAAGTAGCTGGGACCACAGGTGCCACCACCACACCTGGCTTTCTCATTTTTTGTAGATATGAGGGTCTCACTATGTTGCCCAGGCTAGTCTTGAACCCCTGAGTTCAACAGATGCTCCCGCTTCAGCCTCCCACAGTGCTGGGACTGTCGGTGTGGGCCACTGTGTCTGTCTTGCTGGGTCAGTTTTAAGAGTCATGTACTTGACCTGGTAACAGTTTTTTCTTCTGTATTTGTCTCGTTAGCTTTCTGGTCAGGCCGTTTTCTGTGCTTTAAAAACATATACGACTGGCCAGTCATGGTGGCTTATGCCTGTAATCCCAGTACTTTGGGAGGCTGAGGCGAGCAGATCACCTGAGGTCAGGAGTTCGAGACCAGCCTGGCCAGCATGGTGAAACCTTGTCTCCACTAAAAACAAAAAAATTAGCTGGGCCTGATGGCGCGTGCCTATAATCCCAGCTACTTGGGAGCCTGAGTCAGGAGAATCGCTTGAACCCAGAAGGCAGAGGTTGCAGTGAGCCAAGGTCACACCACTGCACTCCAGCCTGGGTGACAGAGCGAGACTCCGTCTCTCTCTCTCTCTCTCTCTATATATATATATACACGACTGAGCACCTTTCAGATTGCTGCAGTTCCCAGTGCAGACTCACCACGTGGCCTTTACATTCAAGTCCTTTTTCCCTCTGTGATTTCTTACCCGTCCCCTCCCTCCCTCCTGCTGTGACTGTGGGACTCTGGGCCAGGTGTGGACATGATCAGTAAGATGCTGAAGATGCAGATGTTGGAGGACGAGGACGACCTGGCCTACGCAGAGACCGAGAAAAAGACCAGGACAGACTCCACGTCCGACGGCCGCCCCGCCTGGATGCGGACGCTGCACACCACCGCGTCCAACTGGCTCCACCTCATCCCCCAGACACTCAGCCACCTCAAGCGCACTGTGGAGAATATCAAGGTAGCTGGAGGGTGGCGGGCCGGCCAGGTCCCAAGGTCCCAGGTGCTGGATATCAAGGTAGCTGGAGGGTGGCGGGCCGGCCAGGTCTCAAGGTCCCAGGTGCTGGATATGGTCACGGACCATCGTTCCGAGGACCATTGGTTCCATTGTGCCGGACGGAACGTGCTCACACCTATGTCACCTCAGGGCAGGTGTCCAGCTGAGCCCAGGCATTGGGCAAAATGAGTTGGCCCTTTTGAAGTGGACTGAAAATACTCCAGAAGATGGTGAGATAGGCAGACAGCTTCCAAAGCGAGCGACTGCAGCCCTTCCTCCCGAGAGGGCCGCGAGAGCTGCGACTCAGGCAGGGCCTCAGCGGGTTTCCGAGCAGCCTCAGCCTCACACAAGCTCGATTCCAAGTCACGCTGTGCCAGAGCTGTCCATGACCCTGGACAGGTCGGAAGCTCTGGGGCTCTCCCGAGAGGCCGAGTTACTTCTGTTTGATCTTTCTGCTGGAGATAGAACCTCTTCCTAACTTCTCTTCACCCTTTTGAACGATTTTAGGATCCTTTGTTCAGGTTCTTTGAGAGAGAAGTGAAGATGGGTGCGAAGCTGCTTCAGGACGTTCGCCAGGACCTTGCGGATGTGGTCCAGGTGTGCGAAGGAAAGAAGAAGCAGACCAACTACTTGCGCACGCTGATCAACGAGCTGGTAAAAGGTACGCGAGACACCCAACTCACGGTGTGGCCTCCGGCGGGCACCTTGGCCTGGGGCCACAGCCTGACCCAGCCCAGCCACACAGCACCATGTGCGGACAGCAGGCCTGGGGGTTTCCCTCTGAGAGCAGCTCTGTGCTCTTACCCTCAAGGTGGGCGGGGGGAGGGGCAGGGATTGGAAATGCTGAAGAATTTGTTTTTCTTCTGTGCTGGTTCGCTGAATGTTGACCAAAATCTTGACACAACTTCTACAGTTTTTTTAGGGGTCTTCCAAGACAGTGAATGGGGAATGTGGTGGTCCAGGACAGTGACAGACGGTAGTAGGTTACGGCCTGTGAAGAATGGGCATCCCCCAAGATAGTGGAAAAGCAGGGGCAGGCGGGCGTGGGGGTCTTGTCCAAAGTTGTGGGGAGCTCCCAGCATCCTCCTATTTGCCCCAAAAGCCCTAATCACCAGGAACACTGAGCCACTTGTGTGACATGAGTTTATAGCCGCAGTTTTACTTGAATGTGATCTATGGTCCTCCAGACAGACACACCTGGACTAATTTGACCCTAGAAATTGCACGGTTCTGAGCCATGCTCTGGACCAGCCTGAGTTAGAGCAGATACGGAGGTGAGGGCGGCGCCCAGGGCATAAAGCGCAGCCTGGGAAAGGCAGCAGGTGGAGCCGCCAGCCGCCTGTGTGGGCAGCCAGGATGCCGGAGCACTTGCAGATTTGCCGCATCTGTGCTGGGGCAGTTGTGAGAGCTGACGCCCTGCGCTCTGTGCCTTGGCTGCAGGGATCTTGCCTCGGAGCTGGTCCCACTACACGGTGCCTGCCGGCATGACGGTCATCCAGTGGGTGTCCGACTTCAGCGAGAGGATCAAACAGCTGCAGAACATCTCACTGGCAGCTGCGTCTGGTGGCGCCAAGGAGCTAAAGGTGAAGGCGCTCCTGACGAGTCTGGGGTGGTCAGCAGCTGTCCTGGGCTGGGGTGGGAGTGGCTCTGGGGACAAACACAGGGCCCAGGTCTGACCTGAGCTCCTTCCCCCGGGGGCTGCCGCTTTCCACAGAACATCCACGTGTGCCTGGGTGGCCTGTTCGTGCCGGAGGCGTACATCACTGCCACCAGGCAGTACGTGGCCCAGGCCAACAGCTGGTCCCTGGAGGAGCTCTGCCTGGAAGTCAACGTCACCACCTCCCAGGGTGCCACCCTGGACGCCTGCAGCTTTGGAGTCACGGGTGAGTGGAGTCTCACAGGAAATACCGGCTCTTCTCTGCAGGTGACCTCGGTGGCCTGAGACCACTGTTCCCAGATACACGCACTTAGGGTGACCCGCTGGTGGTCGGGTGGAGCCGCTGTGTTTGGCAGCCTCTGGGAGCCCTGTGACGGGGTTTGTGTGGCTGTCGTGGTCACCTCAGCCTGGGTTTTGGCTTCCGCCTCACAGGTTTGAAACTTCAAGGGGCCACGTGCAGTAACAACAAGCTGTCGCTGTCCAGCGCCATCTCCACCGCCCTCCCCCTGACGCAGCTGCGCTGGCTCAAGCAGACCAACGCCGAGAAGAAGGCCAGTGTGGTAAGGAAGCGCTGCCTTTCCGGGGTCTCCCGCAGCGACCCCTGCAGTAACCAGGGGCAGAGGCACCTCCTTTTCTACGCCTGGGTTCTGCTTGCACCTGGAGTCAGGTTCCTAGAGCAAAACCATTTTGCACCAGTCCCAACCTCTCTCTTGCCAGGGCCCCCATCAGCTGTCCCTGGCAGTCTTCCAGTTTTCTTACTTTTCCCTGAAGCCACCAGTAAACCCCTCTGCTTCTCCTGCAGGTGACCTTACCTGTGTACCTGAACTTCACCCGTGCAGACCTTATTTTCACCGTCGACTTTGAAATTGCTACAAAGGAGGATCCTCGCAGCTTCTACGAGCGGGGTGTCGCTGTCTTGTGCACAGAGTAGAACTAAACTTTTCTAGCTGCCCCTTTCTGTAATAGTGAAAGTTGTTATTTAACATTTATTCATTATTAAAATGTTTGGAAGGTCTGAGCTTGACAAGAAAGTGGTTGGTTCGAGGTTGGAGGAAGCTGAATGGAATCTGACGGTTGGGAGTGGTGGAAGTTGGGAGGATACCAGGAGGTATTTGAGAAGGCCGACGGCAGGGCTCGTTTGAGGAAATAAAACACTAAGCATGAGCCGACTCCGCCTCTTCTGTCTCACCTTCGTCCGGGGCAGAGAGCCTTGCCTTCCTCGCAGCCCCGGGAGGGCAGCCCACGGCAGCCATGCCCCTCCCCACCTCGCTTGCATCATGAGTTTGCTCCAGAGCGGCCACAGCACTCATGAATTAAGACCTTCGGACCCCTTCTCAGACACAGACGCAGCCAGATGTGGCTCTGGAAGCCCTGGGGCCCGGGCACAGTGGGTCACGCCTGTAATCGCAGCACTTGGGGAGTCTGGGAGTTAAAGACCAGCCTCAGCAATGCAGTGAGAGCCCGTCTCTGCAAGAAATTAAACCAGGCATGGTGGTGCACACCTGTAGTCCCAGCTACTTGAGGGCTGAGGTGGGAGGATCACCCAAGCCCAAGAGGTGGAGGCTGCAGTGAGCTGCGATCTCACCACTGCACTCCAGCCTGGGCGACAGAGTGAGACCCTGTCTCAAAAAAAAAAAAAAAAAAAAAAAACCCCAACCGCTCGTGTTCTTGGCCGGGGCCCCAGGACTCGGCTCCAGACAAGGGAGTTTCCTGCTTCAGATGAGGGAGTTGCCCATCGCCACCCTAGCACATCCATTCCCACACAATCTGCCAGTGGTGGCGATGGCAGTGGCCCATACAGCTGACTGGCTGCGTCTCACGTTCACGGTGCTGGAGGTGACGAGTGTGCTACACCCGTGGAAACGGCCTTCTGGCATCTCAATGTCTTTATTTATTTTATTTATTTTATGTTTTTGAGATGGAGTTTCGCTCTTGTCGCCCAGACTGGAGTGCAGTGGCGTGATCTCGGCTCATTGCAGCCTCCACCTACCAGGTTCAGGTGATCCTCCTGCCTCAGCCTCCTGAGTAGCTGGGATTACAGGCATGTGCCACCATGCCCAGCTAATTACTATATTTTTAGTGGAGACAAGGCTTCACCATGTTGGCCAGGCTGGTCTCAAACTCCTGGCCTCAAGTGATCCTCCTTCCTCAGCCTCTCAAAGTACCAGGATTACAGGCATGAGCCACTGCGCCTGGCCATATTTTTGTATTTTTTATAGAGATGGGATCTCGCTATTTTCCCCAGGCTGGTCTCAAACTCCTGGCATTAAAGGCTCCTCCTACCGCAGCCTCCCAAAGTGCTGGGATTATAGGCATGAGTCACTGAGTTCAGCCCCTAAAAACATTTTTCTTTTTAGAGACAGGGTCTCACTCGTTGCCCAGGCTGGTATGCAGTGGCATGATCATGGCTCACTGCAGTCTCAACCCCCCGGGCTCAAGTGATCCTCCCACCTCAGCCTTCTGAGCAGCTGGGACCACAGACACGCACCACCACATCGGCTAGTTTTGTATTTTTTGTAGAGATGAGGTTTCACCATGTTGCCCGGGCTGGTCTCGAACTCCTGAGCTGAAGTGATCCTCCCACCTTGGCCTCCCAAAATGCTGGGATTACAAGTGTGAGCCACCACACCCAGCCCCTAAAGACATTTTTTATGTGCACTGACATCAGCTTTGATCAGAGGAGCCCCTGCCCCTTTTGGGCTGGGACCCCTTCCTGGACTGAGTCTGCCCGTCTTGGATGAGGCCACGCACTGCTGCTTCCTGTTCCTTTTCTCAGGCTCTGCAAGGAAGGGCTCCAGCTTCCTCTTGGAGAAGGAGATTCTGAGCCCCTCTTCTCTGTCACTCCCGAACGTAGGTGGTGGCCATGCCCCTCGAGCTCTGCTTGGCACATGTCTGCCAGTCTCAGGGGCTCCATGGGAGTAAGGAAGGACTCGGCAGCCCTGGGTGTCTGGTGGTCGTCCGTCATCCTTGAGTCCTCAGGCTACATGTCCACATCATTGGCTTCCGGGGACATAGGGGCCCAACTGGCCACTTTTATGACAAGAATTGGGGTTTTTGGTGACAGGGCGTCTACTATATGAAGTTTCTCTGGACTCTGATTTCGGTGTGTAGGAAGCCACTGTACAGCTCATGCCACCCAGAGAGCAGTCATTGCAGCTCCAGTCGGAATGACCGGGGGTGTCTTCCGAATTGCCATCATGAAGATCTGACAGCTGAGGACAAAAGTGTTTCTCAGTCCAGGAGCAGTTCCTCGAGGCGGAGTCAAGTCTAACATGCTCACACGCGCTCACTCTTCCTTCTGTCACTGAGGCTGGTTTTTGCAGGCTCTGCCTTGCAAATGAATTTTTCTTTTTTTTTTTTGAGACGGAATATTGCTCTGTCACCCAAGCTGGAGTGCAATGGCGCAATCTTGGCTCACTGCAACCTCCACCTCCCGGGTTCAAGTGATTCTCCTGCCTCAGCCTCCTGAGTAGCTGGGACTACAGGC